AATAAAACCATTAGATTTTCTAACAGAGAACGAAAACATACCTGTTCTAGAAACAGTTTCAACTTGTAACCAGTGTCAATGGCATTGACAAAAATGAGCACTTTCTTCTGAACAAGTTCCAGCTTCAGAAGAGCAAGAATGTGAAGTAACTTGTCATGAGCATCACATGAGATCTGCAAAATTACTAAGGACTATAATAAAAAATTGTTCTGCATGTGACCACTCAATATACCATTCAACAAGTTGAAAAAAGAAGGTACAACATAATGTTACACAAAATCAGCTTTCGGCCCACAGTATACTAGCATAAGCTCATTTTCCTGAAATCAGATTACCACACATTTGAAATAGTAACACTGAATCTAAACATAATTATAAGGCAGTGCACGATCAAACCACCTACCCATATGTGAAAATTTTATCAAGTCATGAAAGCTACATGTTTCTGAATAGAACTTTGAGAACAGTTCCAGTCCTCACATTATCTCCCTCAGATGCATTTCCAAAGCAAACTCAAAACGCCCACTGTCTGATATGCTTCTCTGGTGAGGGGAATCCAAAGGGTAGTGAGGGAATAGGAATCAAGGGTAAATCGACAGAAAGTGGGGCTGAGTGGCAAGATATAGAATAATGAGTTGCAAAAATGGTTATGCTTCATTACATAATAGCCTGGAAAACTTTATAAGCACTTTGAGAACAAAAGGCCGGTCAAAATAATATGCTCCTCTTCGGAGGGATATTAAGTCCATAAAGAAAACCAGAATATATAAAACTTGACAAACTAAAACCCCTAACCATACTTGCTAGCAAACAAAATCCAATAATGCTCATCACTACCTTGCCTATTCGTATAACATAGCAAAGAAACCGATAATACTCACATAAAATTGCTGCACACTACTTGGAATGATGCTATCAGTTGTTTCTCCATCCTCTGACACAAGTGTCAATATGGATGGGTTATGCAGCACAAGCTTCCTCAGTTTCTCAACATCTGCACTGCCAATAATTACCAAAAATATCATTAACATGTATTGTGTATCCTGACCTTACAGGATGATACACATAACACATCGTTTTTTGATACAGGACAAATGCAACATAGAGCACATTTCATACAACTTCAGATGAAACAAGCACATACACGCAAACTCACTAACACAAATACGTACAAGTAAGCAGGTAGAGAGGCAAGCCCAACAATCTCCATCTCCATTTATGCAAGACATCTAACCTTCTGAATGGCATTCACCATATTCATTGTAGGAAAAGCTTGGGAAAATGCATTTCACTAAAACTAGGAGTTATTACTCGTCTGTAATGCCTTGCATGTACCAGTTTTGAGGGGGGAGTGGTCAGTGAAGGAATTATTATTGTCTGTAATGGATAAGATGCATATATTACAGAGGAGACACCACTTACAAATAGGACAGTCGCAAGAATAAAACAAAACCCTTCTTGACTAGGGATGGTAAAATTTGGAAAGGAGAGGAATGCATACATTCAGTCGTGAAGTGCAAGCGATGATGGAAATTATCGTGTAAAAAGAACATATATCTCAGGTGCATATGCAGATATTATTAGAGAGGTCCTACGCTTACAACTATTATGAGACCAAGCCTATAAAAGCAGACATCAAAGGACAGAAAAATAGTTACAAACCTTAATGTTGCAGACATCAGAAGGCACTGACAATGCCTAGGAACATGGAAAACAAGAGATTTCAAATCTTCTTCGTAGCCGTATGAAAGGAGGAGATCTGCCTGAAAATTACCATAACTATCGCTTATTAATCAACAATTCACTAATCACCGGCCAACTGTTCTCACGAGAATACATCATTTATAGAAAGAGAAAACCACTTCCATCTCAAATGGAACTTCCAGGCTAGCAAGAAATAAAATATATAGTTCTGTTAAGATGAAAAAACAGAAGCCGAACTAAATATTAAATAAGAGTTTCAAAAAGACAGTATTCGAGTGAGCTTTTAATACAATAAATAAAAAATATAGAAGCAAACCTTCTTCATAGATCCTACAATATTTCAAAAGAGAGCCATAACATACACTTGCTTAAGGGTTTGGAGGATTCCAGCACTTCCAAAAATCCAAGTGTTTGGGCGGTTGGCCATTATCAACAAGGTGTAACAGTTGATTACTTGAAGAATAGAGAGTTGTCACTGTCCAACTCGTCTAGTGTGTGAGAAAGGGAAAAAGACTGTCAATTGACTAGTCATTAATTGTGAAATTACAAGAAAATTTTAGGGCTTTTTCTTTCGAATTGTTCGGTTTTAAATGGGCAATACTTAGGGCTGAGAATGGGTCAGATTGGGTTTAGATCCACCAGAATCCGGATTCGAATCTGAAAAGCATAAATGGGATCCAAATCCAGATCCAGATTCAGACCCAATCGGATGCAGAATATTAGGATCCGGATCTAGATCCAAAAAGTATACATGGGATTTGGATCCGAATCTGGACCCAATGGGGTCAAAAAATTATTCTATAAATTATTTTATATATATATATAACAACAAAATACATATATATAATAATATATAATATTTTAATAACTAGGTTAGATCCGGATCGAATCCGATCCAAATAACTATTCAGATCCAAATTTTAGATTTGGATCCAACGGATCGAATCCAAATTTTGGATCCAAACCCAAATCTGGATAGGGTCCCAAATTCGGGTTTCGGATCCAAACCAGGTAAATATTCAGCCCTAGTAATGCTGGAATCAGTGAAGTACTCAATCGAGCAATGGATATTCTTTTTTTTTAATAATGGTTAATTGCAATGATTTAAAAATCAGCGAGTCGCAACGGACTCGCACGAGTCGGCACGGGAATCGGTTGACCTGTACCGATTCCAGTGTAAAATCGGGAACTTCCCGGTTTTACAACAAAACCGGCGGGTCTGCACAGTGAAGTGACGTCATACATGGGTGAAAATCGTCCGTATGATGTCACATAGCGAGACGTGCCAAAACAACATCGATTCTCTGTAGCCCACACATGGGAAACTACTGTTACCCACCGACCGTGCGTGGATGGCAACCTCAAGCACATGCGTACATCGTTTAGAAACTTACAAAGCAACTTATAAATGCAAAACTAAAACTTGTTGTTGGATGTGGGATAATTCCCATGGTATGTTAAATTATGACGAATTTTGGATAAATACTATTAATATAGAGAGCAAATAGACTTGCACTGATGTGGTGGAGTGGGTATCACTTCCACAATAGAGCCTTCATTTCTCAAGTTCGATTCCGCCTTGGACACATTTTATTTTATTTTTGTTGACAACGAAAATAAGGAGAAAATAATTTCTTAAAAAAAAAATAATTTAAAAAAAAATAATAATTTTTTTTTAAATCTCGCTTTCTATTAACAATCTTTTATACTAAATTTATTCTATAAATCTAAAAAATTAATTTTTTAAAAAAAAAATTATTCCATTTGAAATCTCTCTTTCTATTAACAATTTCTTTTACTAAATTTATTCTAGAAATCTAAAAATTAAAATTTTGAAAAATTAAAGTGTTCTTCGAAATTTGGTATGCATTCTAATAATGTCTAACCAATTTTTTTCTTTTATTTATTAATCATGTAAGTTCATAAAGGTTTGAGCACGTGTGCCCGAGGTTGCCATCCACGCGCGGCCGGTGGGTGACGATAGTCTTCCACTTGTGAACTATGGAAAATCGGTATTTTGCCACATGTGACTCGCTATGTGACGTGATACGGGCGACTTTCACCCGTGTATGACGTCATACAAGCGGTTCACTGTGCAGAACCGGCCGATTCGTTCTAGAACCGGGCGGTTCCCGATTTTACACTGGAATCGGCACGGGGTACCCGATTCCCATGCCAACTCAAGTGAGTCCGTTGCGACTCGCCGATTTTTAAATCACTGGTATTACTATTTAACAAAAATTACAAAAGGCCCCACATGCCCCTTGCTGGCAGCCCATAAGCTGGGTGCTCTAGAAGACACAGGCACCAGAATGAGAGTGTGATGAAAAGAAGGGAGGGGAGAGAGAAAGGAGAGGGAAGGATATATGACGACCCACAACTCAGGTGTTCAAAGAACAAGAAAACAAAAAGGTCTTTTTTAAAAAAAACCTTCCAAAAAAAATGAAAAAAAAAACAAAAACCTCCACTTTACAAAAACCAGCAACTCTCAAAGGCAGCTCAAGTACCAAAAACAGGTGAGGCCACCTGTGATAGAATTAGCCTATAAGAAATATACTAAAATGTTTGTTTCATGAGGGAAAGGGCAAAGAAAATAGACCTTCATTGAGGGGAGAGGGCAGGGGGAAAGAAAGGAAGAGATAGAAAAAAGTAATAGAGGAAGAGAGTAAAAAGAAGAAGAAATGTGGAGAAAGAGGAAGGTGGAGAGTAGCTAAAAGTGCATGGGAAGAAAAATCAGAGGCTGCCACACTGGGTCAATTGCTGGAGCATCATTGAAGGTGGAGAGAAAGCCGCTGAAGCCCTGTAGTCATTGAGCAACCTCAAGCACCCTCCTTAACCAGCCAATCAGCACAGTAGGTGGCTGCTCTCAGGACATGGCGGACAGTGACTGGAAGGTTCCTGCAGAGCATAAGAAGTGGACGAAAACATGAGAGACTCTCCATGGAGGCTGGCCACCCCTACCAGCCCAACTAATCACATTCCAAGCGTCCCCTTCCACTATAAGGGATCCCACACCAGCAAATATAGCAATACAGCACTTAAGACCCTCTAGGATTGCATTGTACTTGGTAGTTGTGAAATCAGAGTGTCCTAGGAACCCTGAGAAGCAGAGGATTTCCACTTCAGGGCAGGCCAAGGTGCCACAGTACCCAAAGGAGCGCGGGTTATCAAGAAAGCAACCATCTATAATTAGCTTGAAGGTATCTAGGGGCGGAGGGATCCAAAGAGGCCCGGCCTGAGAACCGTTGGGGATAATTGCACAATATTGTGCCAATTCCTCCTAAAGTCCTTGGAGCTAAGGCTTTTAAGGTGTGGTAGAAACCTTTCCCAAGAGATGGTGTCAGTTGTTATTTGATTGAAGATGGCTAGGGGCATCCAATAAAGGTCTCGAAAAGTCCTGGCATTCCCCTCCTCATTTTTGGTAGGAAGGCTTCTCTCAACAATCTGAGGGGATATTCTAGTGTTGAAGTTAATCTAGGACTGCTTTTATTGATGCTACCGCACTCTGCTAGTGGTGGCCTTTTATTTAATACTATTTCCTTAGAAGTTTTCCTTCGTAATTTTATTGAGAGAAAATACCCCCAAACAGGGCCAAAAGGGATTTTACCACTCCAGTGAGGGCAAGCCACAAAGGTGGGCATGGCACTACTATATTGTCTCCAAATACTTTTGGGCCATTTTTTGAACCACTTAAGAGTAGACGAGGGCTAATATAATGAATGAGTGATTATGGTGACCCCTAGTTCATGGAGGCATTGGGATCCATGGCTTCAAGTTCCATAGGCGCCTGACAACATAGGGAACTTGTTTTGTTATGGAGATCTGGTTTCAACACTTACATAGGGACATTGATGAAGTACCTAAAGCACTAGCAGAGAATAGAATCTCCAACACAGATTTAAATGTAAGGAATCTTTATCATTGTTGTGACATTCTCAATGCTACAATTCTTCACAAACAATACATACGTAAGGCTATAAATTATTTTATTATATTTCCTACCAATTGATTAAATTTCAAGCAATGAAGAAAAAACAGAGTTCATTATCAATGTCCTAGTAAAGCGAGCATATTAAATGCAATGATGGCAATGTATTTTTTTGATGGCAATGTATGCTTTTGCTATTTGAAGTAGTGTTGCAAGATTGAAAGCTGGGTGAACGAGAGCAGAGCATATCTAGCTAGAACGCGTGTGTTAAGTATTATCATGTTGATGTTAATATGTCATGCATACCAGGTACATTGCAATGCACCTGATGACACATGTCCTACATGTGCCCCAACAGCCAACAAACATCATTAGCCCTGGCTCAGCCATGCCGGCAATGTGTATTAAACAAATATCTTGTCAGGCACATGCTTTTGGCATGTCTACCATCGTTGCAAGTGTCACACAATTCGTGCCGTGTCTGCAATTAGAAATGCATGCCCCTAACTCTGGGCCTGTGTGTTTGCAATTCTGGACAAACCTGCCCATCATCTGCAATGAAGTCTTATATTTTTAATTTGATTTTATCATTTACATACTAATTTTGTATATAAATATATATGGACATGTAGGCATATCTACAGAATTGCATGGACATGTAGACACCACTTTACAGTTAACTGTGTCAGACACAATATTTCCATATCTGAACAGACACATGTGTTTGTGTCCCTGTAACATTAATAATTTAGTAACATTAATAATTTAGCATCATAGTATCACACAATAATACCCCAATTAGTTGGAAAAAGGCTTTGAAGATGACCATGACGAATATCACACAATAACTAGGTGAAAGGTCACCACTCCAACATGGCATTTAAATTGGTAGTATTGCAAATGCATTTTACCAATTAACTTTTATATCTTTTTTATAAGCACTGTGTCAACTCAGATAAGCAAATGGTGTTTAAATTGATAGTAGTACAAATGAATGTAACAATGAACCTTTTCTATTGGCAATCTAACAACTCAGATTGACAAGAAAATTGTGCATACCAATTTTCCCCACCAAAGAAACATGTGTTTAATAAGATTATGCTCTTCATGTAAGGGTAGCAAACAATATTATTAATCAATTTTTTGTTGGACATGATATCAATCAATAAATACAAGATACAATACATGATCATTTTAGAAAATTTTACAAACAAGATTTCACATGACAGCGTCCCAAAGGAATACTATGATAATATTACAAGCCTAGGTAGCAAAGAACATAAGTTAACACTTGATACCTCATCCAAAACTAATGTAGAAAGGGAACACTGTAGATCTGATGCTTGAAGAACATCTTTTGACAAGCACGTTGAAATGCAAGCTGGAGTTGTTACCACAATATCAGGAGGTCCTGCCAATGCAGCTCTCTGCAAACAAATTATGCCATTAATTAGGCAAAAGTCCTAGGCCCTACCACATTTGTAAAAGCCAATGACAAGTCTGGGAACATTTAGAGGTTTTATAGACTCATACAAAAAGAAACACAAGGTGATTAAAGCAAAGAGAGTACAATTCAATTAGATATCTGAGCATCATCAGGTAGGGAGAAATGATAACAATATACCAAATCAGGTACAGGCATGCTGCTTGAGAGTTGTACAACTTTCTTTTTAAGTCTGCAAAGCTCAAATAGAGATGAAATTTCCGAATACACCTGAAAGAATGGCATAAATTTAATGATAAACAGTTGTCAATAATGCATAATGAAAACTAAATAGCATTGCAACAAAATCATCACAAAAAAGGCAACTCTCTTGTAAACCACTATGAAACTACCTTGAATAACTGAAACTGAATATAATTGTGACAATGGCATTACCACAAAAAAGGTAACTCTCTTGAAACCAATATGAAAGTCTTAATAAATATGCATTGATAAATTTAAACAGTTCATCCTTCAATATAGGGAGGAACCCACAAAAACAAACTACATAAGTATCCCCAATGATACAAGTCCACCATATGCATTGCAACTTGCAACATTATAAAATAGGACAGTAAAAACAATAATTTATATAACACTAGACACTCAAAACTAGGACAACACATATTTGCATGCGCATTTTTTCACTTAGGCTGCATGTCTATCAAAATTGGATGACTCTATCAAGGACGCACTGCTGAACTCTAGAGCGGCAACCACAAGAGTCAACTTTTTTTTCATTGCAATCACAATACTCAATTATCGTGATCATGTAATTGTCCAAGCATCTACAAACCAGGTATTTAGGCCATTCTGCATTCATAACCCCATATAAATCCCAAATTATGACACAAGGCTTTATGAAATAGACCATGTTAGGTTAAAATGTCCATAGTATAACCTTCTTACCTTTTTCACTGCTATATTTTAGCACAAGTACCTAAATATGCATCATTTATACCAAAAGAAAGAGCATCTAACAAGCCTTCTGAAGTTTACATCCAAGCAAAATGGATTCCATATCAACTACTGCTCATCACAAACAATCACAATATGGGTGATTGTGACAAACATGAGAATGGAAATCACCCGTCCCTTTTGTGATCAGCAAATAGCACATTCTTGATTGTTTGATCTGCAGATTCTAACCAGAAGCAAATAAACTGCAGAATTGTGCCAATCAGTATTACTTCCACAGAAGTCCCTCAATAAACTGCCTAAAACACGTTTGACACCATCCTGAAACACAAATTCATATCTTCACGGCACCCATTTATAAGATAGATAAAATGATTCCATTTGGTGCAAGATGTGCAAGGTGATCCCACAGGAGCATATACCATATACGTACTCCCTCGGGCAGATGACCTACTTGGGAGTATGTTTTCTATTTAAAATTTTGGGAACCACCTAAATATCAATAGATGATCATTTTCAAAAGAGAAAATTCGAATTTTAAAGTTTTTTAGCATTGAGATCTCACCCTCAAAATTTGAGCAGTCTCTACTCAAACTTGAGACATTATTTTTTTCAAGTGCATAGACGGTGTAATTTGGAAATTAATTTTTATCAAGGTTATTCTACGGTTTGAGAGGTTACATCCCCAAAATATGGGTCCTACAATTGCTACAAGATTGGGTTTCCAAGGGAGTAAATTGAAAATATGCTCATGCAGGAGCATGAAATCTTTCGCCTTTAGTTTTTACTACTTTACCATCATTTGCCCTTTTCTGTTTTTTGGTTGATACTTTAATCACACACATCTATTTTTATTTTTATTTTCTCTTACAAACTTTTATTAAAAAATGTTGCATGAGGAATATCATATTAGGATTACTTATTCATGTGCATCAAGAATTATGAAACATAGGTAACATGAGTTTATGTAAAGAGAAGCGGAACCAAATTCAGATAATAAACAAGTTAATGAAATTTGGTTATGAGGGGTAATTTGGTTCAAGTGGAAGGCTCTAAAAAGGGCAAGGGGAAGGCCTCAAAGGATATTGATGAAAATAGTGAGAAAATATATGGTGAAATATGGTCTGACCGGGTATGGTCCTTAATAGCCCGAAATGGTTGAATATGATTCCTGTGGCCAATTCCAAGAAGTTGGGATAAAGCTCGGATGATGATGATGATGAACCAAGTTAAAGAACCTATCAAAACAATCCATATGAATAATATTTTAAATAAAAAGTTCAAAATCATTATCTTTGGCAAAAAAATTTCAAAACTCTATTTAACTTCTTCGTGACGATAATGAAAAATTGGTTTATCATGAACTCCTTAGAAATGAGTCACCACTTCATCATCATCATCATCATCGTCATCATAGCCTTTTCCCAATTATGTGGGTCCACTATTATGCTCTAGTAAAGTTATATCCACAGTGAGGCCAGAAGTCCCCATATCTTTCCGAACTACTTCCAACCACATTTTTTTTTGGTCTGCCCCTTACCCTTTTAAGTCATTCCACTTAAACTAACTCGTACCTCCTAATAGGTGTTGTACTTAGTCGGCGCCACACATGGTCAGCCAACCTAAGTCTACTCTCTCTCATCTTATCGCCTAGTGGTGCCCCACCTAAATTCTCCTGATATGGACAAATGAGTCACCACTTCAATCAAATAAATAGAAATCAGTCCCTTCTCTAATTTCAAGTTCAATAACAAGTTACCATAAAAACACCAAACTTGCATTCACAGCAAAATCAGCTCCTTGACATCCATGCGTAAGTAATAGAACAAGAAAGAAACAAACAACCACTCCTTCACGCTTCATAACTCATTTTAGCATTTAAACTCCATTAACACATCAAAACTAGAAGAAAAACAGAATAAAAGTTAGTGCGGGTTCTAAGGTTTATTTACTTGTTGGCATAACTCCCTCGTCGGAACAAGCACAAAACCAGAAGGAGCCGCCTTGTTTGAATTTGTCTCTGCAAATAACTTCTGAATCATAGGAAGAAGGTAAGCAAAGGTTTTACCCGACCCAGTTTGAGCCATAGCAACAATATCCTCGCCTTGCTGTAATCACAAATTGAAAACAAAAAAAGTAAAAATAAATCAGACAGGAAATCACAAATTCAACAAACAAAATCAAATCCAATCATTTTCTCTGTAAATAATGAAGAATAACAGGAACCATTCGCTTAAACTGGGCAAACACGGAAACCCTGGAGCCATTGATGCCGAAGAAGAGAGAGGTTAAGGACTGGTAGAGAGCAAAAATTTGCAGAAAAATAAGGGTTTGAAATCTAGGGTTTGAAGCTACCAGGATGAGAGGGATGGCCGCTCGTTGAATATGGGTTGGCTTGGTGATTCGTTTCTTGGAGAGAGCTTGAACGAGGCGAGCGTCCAAACCCAACTCTTCAAAGCTCAAATCTTCCTCTTCTTCTTCTTCTTGATTCATATCGCGTGGTTTCTCAGGGCTGGTAGCCATTAAAAGCGAGGTTAGGATTGGAGCGAATTGCACTACTGCTAACACAATGAACGAGCAGAGGCGGGAGAGTTTGAGAGCAGAAAGAGAAGCGAACGTTAGGGTTCTTTCTCCTCTTATGTTTGCTCTCCATTGAGCTTCATGGTTTATTTCTTTCTTTTTTCTTTTCTTTTATGGAAAAAGTTTATTTAAAGATGCAACCTTAACTACAAATGCACTTCAAAAATTCATCGGAAAAGGTGGAAAAGGTAGTTTTAATGTTGAAAAACCCTTTGATTTATCATTTCGACATCGAGATATATGATCATAACAAATAAAAGTGTTTTAGGTCTAAAAATCGTACATTTTACAACATATTATCTACACAGTTCATTTTTTAAAATTTTCATATATTTATAGGTCTACTTAATTTTAATTATTTTTAAAATTTAAAATTTTATAATTAAATATAAAAATAGATTTTAAGATAATCTTAAGAAAATTTTACATCAAAATTATATACCATGATAAATTTTGAAATGTGCATCTTACCTCTACCGCTACGGATTCATCCGTATGCCAACTACACCCTTCCCTTTTTTTTCCATTTTTGTTTAGGAAGTTGTGAAAATCACTGTATACGTTTGGCAAAACTTTAAAGTTTAGATCTTTAATTGTAGAATTAAGTTGGACATAAAAAAGAAAAATCAAATAAAAAGGCTATTTTAAGGTTTGGAATACCATCTAATTGAGCGGCTCAACGTTGAGATCTATGAATATGGAAAAAAAAATGTTCAATTATCAAAAATAGTACATCTTGGATTACATTATTTGGATGGTCTTTTTTCACAAATTTCATGTGCTTATAGATATGATTGATTTGAACTAATTTTTTAGTGTAAAATTTTATAATTAGATATGAAAATATATTATCGGGTCATCCTAAGAAATTTTGACATCAAAATTGCATCTCACATTCTAATGACAAAGTTTGGAGTCGCACTTTACTTTGATTATTTAATGTTGAACCTTATACAAACCTCATCCTCTATGTTTTACTTATTTATGTGATGGATGTTATTGTTAAACATTTGATCTTTAGGTATGTTTTCATAAAAGAAAATATTTATATAAGGCTACAACCTTATTTAAGGTTGTAGAAATATGTGCCATTTATTTTATCTAAATGGTTTAGATTTGACAATATTTAAAAATGGGTGCAGTTGGCATACGAATGCATCCGAAGCTATCGAGGTAAGGTGCACCTTTCAAATTTTATCATGGTATATAATCTTGATGTAAAATGTTCTTAGGATTATCTCAAAATATATTTTTAT